CCCCTAACTCCGGGTCTGGGTCCGGTCCCAGCGCGCACAGCGGCAGCAAGGGAGGCCCCGGCACGTCCCTCGCCTCCCTCACCCGCGGGCACAACTCCCTCCGACAATCCGGCTCCAACGCCTCCTCGCAGCAGCCCGTCATCCACGACGGAAGCCTCTACGAGTTCCTGCAGACGCTGGCTGACCGCACGTCGGGGTGCAGCGTCGAGCAGCTGGAGCAGATCTACAGGGAGCTCATGGACGAGATCTGGAAGACGCGGCACGAATGGAACCGTATGACGGTTCTGAACACGCTGATTTCCGTCTTCAATGACACCATTGGCGACATCGAGCTGGTGCAGGGCGCGCTGGTCGATAGCCAGAAGCAGAAGGGCAAGGGCGGTGACGGCGACGCCGATGGCGAGGTGCTGGAGAGTGTGGAAGGCGTCCCGGGGACTGCTGGGTTTGTCGGCAGTCAGAGCCAGAGCCAGAGCCAGGGGCAGGGCAATGTCACGGAGGAGCCGTGGGTTTATTTGGGGAGGGCGTGAGCGGTGGGGTGTTCTTTCTGTTTGTGTGTGTGAGGGGGGTTGTTTGGCCGAGGGCGTGCGAAGCAGGCGAGGGAGACATTGGCGCGTCACTTTATGGGTTGTTCGTTAGAGAGCGTCTGCTGGGATTCGTTTTCTCCTCCTACCGTTGTCCTTTATGGGTGGGATTTGGGTGGCTGGTTGGTAGACTGCGTTTTTTTTCCCCCGCGACCTTAAGTTTCCTGGTAATAGCTCAAGTACGAGCTCGCCTGTTTGTTGGGCAGAGCCGTGGTTGCATATCATGCGTTCCTGGCTTGGGTTATCTTAGCATTATTTATCGTGATTCCCATACTCGTTGAATCTACGCCTAAGAATGTACTGACATCATCCACCCGAATTTTGTTGGTTGTATGTACTTCGTACTTTTCCCTTTCTTTTCTCATTGAGCTTACTAGGAGTGATTGATATTAATAGAAATATCAAGTATCTAAGGAGTGAATTGAAACTCAGAGTTGAAACGAGTCTAGGCTGACTCCTGCTCGGGAATCTTGCTACCTTCCTTACTCCTAAATATCGTCTTGCACTAATATCATAAAGTATAACTACCATAACTTACTACTAATACTACGGAGAAAGGGGTGCAGAATCAAGAGACGACATTTCATATATTGCCAGGTTCGATTAAATATAAAGGCCACGCTATAATGAAACAGAAAAAGGGGGAAAGGGAGGAGACAAGATCTGAAAACAACAGTTGGAAATGGTACACCGTATAACTACAAGATACTTTCCCTCGACATATTAGACATATTCCTCACCATAAGAGCATCAACATCTTTTTGCAATATGAGTAAAATTTTGCCAATCAAACTACATATCTAACTTTCCCTCTCAAACTCCAAATACAACCAACTCCCAACAATTACAAAACAAAAAGCCAAGTCTATATGCTCCTTACGAATTGATTTCCGCAAACCAAGTCCTCAACAGCGCCGCCAGCGCCCCCGGCAAATCCTCCAAGTGATGCACAATCAAGTAGTACGGGAACGGGAACGAGTCCAGATAGCGATGAATAACAGGCACACCATCCGGCCCGAACCTCGCCTCCTTCAGCTCCAGCACACTATGTCCCTTCTTACTCTCGCGCGCATCATCCATCACAATAAACACCACCATGACGCGCTGTTCCATGGCCTCCCTCAGCAGGGGCTTTAGTCGGGCATGGTCCCTGCTCTGGACCAGGCCGTCGGACAGGATCAGCGCGAGCTGCCAGAGGTCCTCGCCGCCGGCGGAGGACGCCTGCATGGCGCGGGCCTCGGCGAAGTGGTCGATGGTCTTGCGCAGCAGGCCGACCATGTCGGTGCCGGCCTGGCCGAAGGTGAACTTCTGCAGTACGCGCGCGCCCGTGTCCTGCGAGGTGAAGGACGGGTCGGTCAGCGCGTGCGCCACGAACACGTCCGTGCCGAACCCCAGCACGCCGATCTGCCCGGCCTCGAGCACGGTGAGCGCGCGCGCGACCATGACGAGGGATTCGAGAGCCAGGTTTCCTGATGAGGAGCGGTTGTCGTCTGCCATGGAGGAGCTATCGTCGACGCAGAGCACGATCTGGTAGGCGCGTTTGGAGGGGATGGCGCGGCGCATCCAGATTTTGTCGCGCTTGTAGCTGGAGGCGATGTAGGGGATGATCTTCTTGATGTTGAGGCGCTTGCCGGTGCGGAACGAACCGGAAAGTTTGGTGGATTGGGTCGGAGTCAGGATGAGCCGGAGTTGGGAGGAGAGGGATTGCGAGAGCGCTTGGGTCTTGCTTTGGAAAGCCGACCACATGTCGAGCGCTTCGTTATAGTCACGGAGGGCCGTCTTATCCTCCCCGTCGATGTGCGTAGCCAAGAGCTGGGTGGACGTCTCGTCGATTTGTTCATCGTCGACATCTTCGGGAGCCTCAGCCCGAGGGATTTCGTCCTTTTCGTCCGTCTCGTAGGCTCCCTTACGCGTTGCGACACCGGAACGGCCTTCTTCGCGGTCGTTCTTGGAGGCATCCTGCGGCTCGGCCGATTCAACATCCTCCATATCCACATCCCCGCCTTCCTCTTGTTGCTCATCCTCCGACATAATCTGGTTATTGCCCTCATCCATCTCGTTGTCGACTGCCATTGCATCGTCCATTGGGCGAGCCTCTTCGTTAGTGGCAGTCCCGAGAGCTTGGGTGTCGGCTTCGGCGGTTTCGTCTTGAAGATGCTGAAATTCGGCCCGCGCCATGTCCTCGGCAGACTGCTCCGTCTTTTCTTGGTTCTCCGAAGCAGCCTGAATCTCCCGCTGGTTGCGGTACCATCGATCCAACGCATCACCAAGTTTCTTGAACGGCTGTGCGTCCTTCAAGTCGGCGTCTTCAGTTTCATCAGACGGTCCTTGCTCTTGATCCATGCTCGAAAGTGCACCTTTTGTTGCCGGGGAGCCTTGTCCTCTTCGGCCGACTGCTTGCCAAGGGCGCCTTGCTCCTTTTGACCGGATTTGTTCTCGACCTCGTCGTCTTGCATGTTGGCGTCTTCGGCTTGGCCACCTCCGTTCTTGACATCGCTAGGTGCAACATCGTCCTGGTTCGCCCCAGTCCCATCGTCAGGTAATGGGGGTTTCTTCTCGTCTTTCTCCTCGTCCTGGCCCTCATCTCCCTGTTCTTCCTCCTCCATCTCCACATCCATCTCATCCTCTCTATCACCAACTGCATCAACCTCCGCTTCCTGTTCTGCTTCTTCCTCCTGGATGTCCTCATCTTTCTGGTGCTCCTCCTCACCCTTCTCCTCATCCTCGTTCTGAGACATATCATCAGCCGCATCAGCTTGTTTCTCTTCGGGTTTCTCCGCATCAGACAACCCATCCAAGTCATCATCCTCCCCGCTCTCTTCGTCTCCATCATCAATCTCAATGTCCATATCCTCTGGTAAAGCCAGCGTCTCGTTCTCTTGGACATTCTGATCCTGATGATTCAACTCCTCCTTTGCCATACCCTCCTCTTCCTGTCCTGCCTCCACCTCGGCATCTTCATCCCCTTGCTCCTCACCAACATCATCCGGCGGCGCATTCCCCTCCTCCTGCTCATCCCCCTTCGGCTGCTCCTTCTTCCCCTCAGCGGCGGTACTCTGGTCCTCATCCTTTTTCCCCTTCTCCTGATCCCCCATCTGATCCTTCTCCGCATCATCCTCGCCACTCCCATCCCACATCTTCTCGTCCACCGCCGTCGGGTCAAGATCATCCACATCCCCCGCCTGCTCATCCATCTCATCCTCCTCCTCGTCCTCCCCATCCTTATCCCCATCCTTCTTTTCCTCCTCCTCATCATCACCCGCCACACTACCCATATCCCCCTCCAACTCATCATCACCCATATCAACAGCATCCTTATTCTCCTCAATATCTCCCTGGGCTTTATTGTTCGGGTCCTGCGCCAGATCCGACAGATCCTCATCGGCTTTGATGTCCTTGCTGATATCCTCGGCACCCTCGCCGTCGCCGAGCCCGGTACCGCTCTCGACGTTGCCGGACTCGCCTGACTTCTCGTCGCTCTTTTCCTGCGGCGTGCAGAAGCCCTGCGAGGAGATCTGCACGAACGAGGCGGCGAGCTGGTGGCCCAGACGGCAGGTTGCGCGGTGGAGAGTGGAGAACTGCGCGAGGTTGTGCGTGCAGATGGTGGAGTATTGTGCGAGCACGGGGTGGATGAGTCGGAGGAGGGCGGATGCGGCCGGGAATTGGTCGCTTGGGAGGGTCTTGAGTTGCTGGATGAGAGATTGTGCCTCGGAGCTGATCTTTGTTATGCGGAGGGCATCGATGGACTTTTGGAGATTGTCGCTGTAGTTGAGGAACCAGCCGGCGTCTTCTGTGGTCTGCGGCAGAGACTGGATGGCCTTCTGGAAGTTTTGCAGTGCGACGAGAATCTTGCTTGAGAGTGTCAAGGCTGCAACCGCAAAGTTGTTGATATTGTCGCCGGAAACACCATTGATGACATCCGTTGTCTGGATGTTGGTCCATAGCTGGATTTGTTGCACGACAAAGGCTAGGCCCGGCCTTGCTTGGGCGATCTCTGTAAGGCCGATTCGAAGGGCATCTAACTCCTTCTCCACATCATCTTGGAGCTTGTCGTTACCGGCCGAGGTGAAGCCGCTAGGAAGGCGAGGGAGGCTATCGTTCTCGGCCTCCAACTTCGTGAATGTCTCAACCCAGCTTTCAAGTTTACCGCGGACCGCCGCATTTCCTGCACCGCCAAGTTTGCCGTGGACGTCCACCAGATGAACTCCAGCCTTGAGAATCTGTACGACCCAGCGAACAACCTGGGCGTGGTTTGCCAACCGAGCTTGCGGCCCGAAGGACGCCCCGCCAGCGGAAAGAACTTTGACGCCCTCGACAGCCCCGTGAAGACCACGCGCTTCCCCAGCCACCCGAGCCAAGAACTGCCGTTGACGGAGCATAACATGCAGCACGCCTTCCAGATACCCGATACTCCTTTGTACCACCTCACGGTTCAGGTCTTCGGAGTGTTCGTATGTGGCATGACGGAACTTCGGAGCCAAGTCAAGCGTCTTGTGGTAGAAGTACTCAATGGCACTCAACGCGGCGCTGTTAATGTGAGGTACAACCCCTGAGCCGACAAGGACAACAGCTGTTGAGCTCTGCTTCTCGAGGATGTTGGTACCGAGGTTGCGGCTGAAGCCCATTGCGCGAAGGGTCTTGAGGGTATCGCTGTAGAGGGTGACCTTGCGGGTTTTGAGGTGGCTGACCATATTTTTGTTCTCGTCCGTCAGGTTGTCGGGAGTTTCCTTCTTCAAAGCAGCGATGGAGGAGGAAAGGTCGGTGATGTAGCTGTCCAATGTCTCCGCAGCATTGACACCGGCCGTGGGGAGGGATCCATGTTTGGACATGGCCTTGAGAACAGCAGGTAGATTAGACATTCTGGCCCAGTGTGGGTGGTTTGCAATTTCTGGGACTGCCTGCTGGCAGAGGGTAATGGCGCCCTGGTTAATAATCTGAACCTCGAGAGGTCTCACCCCAAATTCCAAGACCGTATTGTCGTGAACCTCCTCAGGAAGCCCTTGATCTATCATGGCCTTGACCGGCTGTTCCAAGACCGCGCGGAACTTGCGCACAAGCTTGAAGAGTTTCTGGTGAGATTTGCGTGCGCTATCCCGGAGCGATTCGATGTTCTTGTCCCGCCACTTCGACAGCAACAGGACATCCTTCATGCTCCTGTCAAGAGGCGCCCTTCCGGCATTGATTGTCTCCTTAACCTTGCGTTCGTATCGGCTGTAGTAGGTGATGAAGTTCTGCACAGCGTCGAAAACCAAACCCAGGGCAGGCTCATCCAACACAAGTTGATCCAATTGATTCTTGAGTTGCCTGAGCAGATTCAGACGGGCGCCATACTGGCCGAGACTCGCGCCAGCGAAGTATGACTCCAGGATGCTCAGCAGTTTGACAGTGTGGTCCTTGAGATCCAGGCCTCGCTGGAGGATAGAGCACGGTTCAAGAATGACAGCGCCGTAGGCGATGAACCACCACGACTTGGCGTCCTCGTAACTTTTCTTGACCTCGGTGTCGAGCAATCGCGACCAGCTCGACAACTCGAGACGACGCCAGTCGCAAATAGTGTCCCGAAGCTTCTCGTACAACACCGTCGCTTTGTGTACCTTGCTAGCCCAGCCGCCTTCATGCCATTCATAGACATGAGCATACAGCCGCTCGATGGCGGTGATGATACCGGCGAGAGGATCGTCGATCGCCATCTCCAGGACTTTGTCACACGCCATGACCACGTCGGCGAGGGTCTGATGGTGGCCAATCTCATCGACCGCTTGGAGTTCCAAGAAACGTTTCTTGATTGAGTTGACGAGACCAAGGAGCTTGCGGACTTCGGGGAGATTGGCGTCCGTGTAGAAGTTGTAGTCAGTGGCGCCGGTGTTGGAACTGAACGCCTGAACCTGCTCATTGAAGGCTAAAACGGCCGCAGGGAGAAGTGTGCTGTCCAACGCAGGCTCGGCGACAGTGCTCTCTCGTTTCTCGCGGGCGACCCGGCGAGCAACCTGCATGCACAGCCCCTTGATGCTCTGCTGTGGTTCTTGTGTCAAGAGGAAGATCTTCTCGTGTGCCTCAGCCAATAGGACAGAAAGATCGCGGCCGCCGCGGAGTGGTTTCTTTACTTTAGGCACGCCTTCCTCGTCGGGGGTATAGTCGGGGAAGAGCTGGTCGAATTCTTCTTGGTCGTACTCTTCTTGGTCTTCCAGACTGCCCTTGAATCTAAACAGACTGTTGTTGGCCGCCTCGATCTTCCGGTCCGATTCGAGCTTCTTCGTCCATTCCTCGTGGAAAGAGCCCAGACACTCGTGCAGGGATTGACGTAAGGAGATAGGAAGCTTGTCAAGGCCGTCCACCGCCACAACAGTCTGCACAAACGAGAGGAACTCGAGCGTACGGGTCGGTAATTGTGTAGTCTCAGCCTGCCACACAGTACCATTGAGGAACGGCGTGACTGCAACAAGTGTATCCGGTTCACCATCAACAAGCTCCTTGCTGGAGCCGACCCCTTTCCCAAGGGACAGCCCCATCTTCACACAACGAAGGAAGCTGACGAGCGGCATAGTCAGATCCTGATAGGCTCCAAACCTCGACGTCAATCGAGCGATCAGCAGTGTCACGTTCTGTTCAACAAGCGCCAACTCCTGGGCAGCATCACCTGATGATGCCGGGTCGAGAGATCGCAGGTGGGTGACCGCAACATCATTACCAACCAGCGCGTTCAGGACGTTGTTAAACTCACCCTGCAGGCTGCGGAGCTCGCCGCCGCCCGGCCGGTAGATCTGCTGAACTGATGGCGGCTCGCCCAGCCCCTCGGCCTCTTCGACGAGGAGTTGAGAGCGCAGGCTGGTCTTCTGGCCGGTAAAGGCAAGCTCGAACGACTCGAGAGCGGCAACCTGGGTTTGCAGGCCTTGGTAGAGCTCTTGGTGCTCCTCTGCTTCGACTTGTGCGCGGTGGTGCGGGTCGAAGATTTTGTCTGGTACGAAGAGCTCAACACAGCCCAGGGCGAAGCGGATCCAGGCGACAGAGGTTGACGCAGAGCGCGGCTGGAACCCCTTGGCCGAGGCCGCCAGGGCCAGCAAGGCCTTGGAGAAGCGCCGTTCGTAAACAGCGCTGAGGTGCTGAGGCAGGTTACCCCCAAGGGTGTTGGGTATTTTGGCTCGCTCAAGCCACGGCCCAAGCTCACCTCCGAGAGCAGTGTTGATATCACCCCGCGCCAAAAGGGCCTCGTAAATGGCCATCACACGCCCCCTACAAGACTCATCATGCGCTGCCACAACCTCCTCCATCAACTTCAACAGCAGCCGCTCAACCTTGACCAACGGATCCGTCGCCAGCGCCTCCGACGCGGCAACAAGAGCCCTGCCCATGATAGGCATCTCGACCTCCAGCGAGCGCAGCTCATCCAAGCTTGCCGACGACGCGGCATCGTACTTAAGTAGCAGCGACCTTGATAGGGCACCACCCCAGGGATGGGTCTCGCTGTTCTCTTGGACAAGAATGTAGTCCACCGCCTGGAAGGCCGTCTCTTTCAGGCACTGCAGACGCATCAAACTTGGGGTGGGAATGCTTGCGAGAACATCCACGTCCGTCGAGCCGGGTTGGATGGTGACGTCCTGGGAGACTTGATGCAGGACGAGTGCTTGCCTAAGACCTTCGAAACTGGACGCGAAGAATGGTTTGTGGGTAGTGGAGTGTTCTCCGATTTTGGACTCGAGGGTGGTGATTTCGGACTGGAGGTCTTTGACGAGGCCGGCAGCGTCTCCCTTGCCGGTGCGGATAAGGGCGTATACACGCGCCATCGAATCTTGAATAGCCCGCAGAGTGGAGATGTTGACGTCGACGCGCCAACGGAGGGAGTCAAACCTATCGGCCAGGCGTTCTAGTTCCATGGCTTGCTCTAATGTTTGGATATCCGGGATCGGGTCTGGCCGCAGCCGGTGCCAGAGGACCTCCATGCCAAGGCCACTCGACAGCTTGAATCCTACAACAAAGTCGCGCTCAAGGAACCCAGAGAGCATAGAAAGGAGCTTCTGATCGCTGGTGTCTTGCAGAGTGGATAGGCTATGCTGCAGGAGGTTCGACCCCTGAGTCAAATGAGCCTGGAAACGCGCTTCCTCAAACGAGGACACGATCAATGACTCGAAAGTTCGCTTCCAGAACAGCATCAGCCGTCTGAAAACCGAACGCCGCTTCTTCCAGTTACCAGGCTCGTCTGCCTTCTCACACAGGAATGCCTTGGCCGTGCGAAGTACTGACGAAAGAAACCGGACGGCATTAACTGTTGAATCCCGAGAGAGCGAGGCGACCTTGTCTGCAACCCATGATCGCTGGAGACGGTTCATCGAGGACGGTTTGCTGACATTGACCTTTCCAAGTTGCGCCTCCATCGCTTTTTCCGAGGTTTGGATAGCAAGATAAAGCTCGTAGCAGCTGGCGAGCCAAAACGCCAGGCCTTCGTGGCCTTGCTTCAGGAGAGGAACCATGGGCGAGTTGACCAATGGATGTAGAGGCATCAGCATCTTGTCCGAAGACGCGGTGTAGATGTTCGCAAGTGATTGTCTCAGGGGACCGGCATCTTCTGATTGAATGTAAGACAGCATTTGACCCAAGTGCTGGATGGCTGCTGGCGAGCGCACTAGTAGTGATGGTGAGGAATTGGTCAGTGCTTCGCGAGTGGCTTGAAGGTACGCATCAAGCTTGTTGGTATCTCCAAGAGACAGAACGTCGAAGGACAAGGGGACAAGCTGTCCATCCTCTGTTTGTTGGTCCAGGATTTTGGTCGCGGTATGGAACCTCTGCAGGGCTCCATCCACCGGTGCAATCTTCTTCACGACGGCCGTTTCTGCGGGCAAATCACCAAGGTAGATTTCGATCGAACGGTTCCTCATCGCCCGTGAGAGCTCGCCATACCGAGGATCAACTGTCAAGAAGATTCTGAAATCGGGGTGCGGCGTGATGATTCTTGGCTCCCCTCCTGGGCCGCTGTGCTCGTTGATGCTCAGGATGCCATTCGGACGCTCAAGAAGCGAGTTGAGTCTGTCTAGGACAGATGCACTGCATAGGTTAGCATTATCTAGGACGAGCCAGGCGCCAGTTTCGACGGCGCGCACGATGACACCATCCAGCCATTCGAACCGGGGGTTCTCTAGCGTCAGTGGTTTGTGTAGTGCTTCAGACGCTTCAGAGAGGAGCGTGGCGAGAGGCTCTGGGACGGAGACATCTGCTTGCAATGCCTCGATAAGTAGGAGGATGCCCTCATGTTCATCCGCCTCTCCGGTCAAGGAGTTGAGAGCAGCCATGAGATCAACGACGGCATTGGGAACCGGGTTCGGAAGAGCCAGCAAGATTTGCTCTTGGAGTGCCTGCCGGACTTTGACAAGACAAGCTTGAACTTCCCGGTGAGGGTCTGCTTGCTCAAAGCCTCCAATGAGGTCCATGGCGTCAACATCGGCGTTGAGTGGGAACACAACGAGTGACTTGCCCGCAAGTGCAGCGACATGTGCCAGGAGAGTCGACTTGCCGCTGCCGGAGGGGCCAACGAGAATACAAGGTAGGTCTTGCTCAATCGAGATCATGACTGACTCGATCTCCTTAAGTCTCGGTACGGCGTCAATGTCAGGGAAAGGGGTCGGCTGCGAAAGCGCGTTTCTCTTCAAACTTGCAAGCCCAACCTGGCCAAAATAGGGGTTGATGTCGTGATACAGGCCGTGGTTCTTGGGCGCTCGTTCAAATATTTCGGCAAAAAGCTTGTTCACCTGCTCTCGATCTCGCTCAGTCCTAAAGCGTTGCCGAATGATCACATCCAGGTAATCGTCAGGCTTTCGGCCGGCTAGGAGCGTGTTTTGCGATGTCAACAAGTTGCCCCAACGCAGGGTATCTCTGAGATTGAACTCCCAAGGTGAGCCCAGAGCACCAAATGATCTTCTGCTGACGACTTCATCATCAAGCCTAGACATGAACTCGATGAGCCGTTGCTGGGTTTCGCTCCCGATTGTGCTGAACTTCTTGGCAGTGATGTGAAGCAGGTCCTGCTTCGTGAAGATGTCGGAGTAAACAACAATAAAGCGGTTGACGAAAGAACTAGGCAACCCCTTCCGGCCGCCGCCCTGGTGGTGAGGGTTTTGAGCGGCGAAGAGCTTGAAATCCGGATGACGTTTGAACACCTGGTCTAGTTCTGCAATGTAGACCTCTCCACGGTGGTCAAGACAAGCATTCAAGCCTTCGAGGACCGTCTGGGAGGCAAGGTTCATTTCCTACAAGTCCAAGTCAGCCATCGGTTCACAAACAAACGGAATATCGCGACGATACTTACATCGAGCAACACCCACTCGCCCTTCTGCATCGCTTCCAAAAACGGCGCATTCTGCCACACGAAGTTGCCTGCCTCTGCTCCCTCAACCGGCACGTCTGTACCAAACAGATCCATCAAGTCCGTCTGGTCAGACAAGTTAATCCTCGTCAACGGCCGTCCGCAAGCCCTCGCGAGTGCTGTAACTAGTGTTGTCTTGCCTACTCCAGGGTTACCCTCCAGCAAAATGGGCTTGGTTCCCTGTAGCGCCCTGATGACACGCATGGCATTCATTTTGGTGGTAGGCACGCTGAACTCGTGTCCGGCGTCGATGGTGCCGCCCGCCATGGACCTGTCGACCGCAAAGTCGCCAATTATGAGCAACTTCTCATCAATCGTGACCTGCGGCTCCTGGAAATAGGGCTGGACCAGGTCAGTACCGCAGAGGACGCTGAGCTGGTCGAGGCACATCTGCCGTTGGGAAGCCATCTCTTTCGGGTCTACGGCCACAAGGGCGGAGGGGTTGGCGCCGATGGTGTCGATAAAGACCATTGCTGCGCCATGGAGGAGGGCGAGCGCGGGGGAAGAGAACTGGGAAGTGTTCATGAACTCAACCCAGGCCAGGATGTCTCGGACTGAAAAGGCTGTAGCTGATGAGGGGCGGAAGGTCTTGCCGAACCACGAAGCGAACTCGACGATGATGCGGGAGATAGGCTTGGGTCCTTTTCTGTTCCCGCCACGCGGCTTGAATCTGTTATCGAGTTTGGAGAGTACAATGTCGTGGACATCGTCAACTTCCGAAAATGCCGGCACCCAAACCTCAGTGAAGCGGTTCCGTAGCGCTGGAGAGAGCTCCTTCTTGCCGAAGTCACCACCGGGGTTCATAGTGGCGAAGAACTGGAAACCATCGGTGGCTTGGACGAAGGAGTCGGTGATGCCCTTTTCGGCAAGGAGGAGGCTACGATGGGGTTCGAGCACCGAGTTGAGGCGCTCCAGGACCGAGTCATCCGCAAGCGAGATTTCGTCGAGGAGAAAGTAGGTTCCCTCCTTCATGGCGTGAACGAGGCTGCCATCACTCCACTCGAAGAGCGCCTTGCTCCGCGTCGTGCCCGCATGGATTTTGGATCCCAAGGATTCGGGTATCCCGTTTGAGCGCTCTGCAGGAGAAAGAGACTGATACCACTCCTGCAAATCATCCAGTGGGCCCCCATCCTCCCTTCCTAGGATGCTTGCTGCCTCCTTGAGATCTCGGAAGAGCGAGTCTAGAATGGCCCCACGGTTTCTCACTGGCCTCTGAGAACCGATGAGATCTCCTGTCTCAGTGTTCTGGTGAGCGTTGACGATGTGCAATTCCTGCTTCTCGAACTCAGCAAGCAACTGACAAACCGTGGTCTTGCCACAACCCGTCTCGCCCACCAACAACAAGGGCTCGTTGTTCTTGACGGCGCGCTTCACCAACACATACAGCCGCCGCATTGCCCGGGTCCAGATGACGCCTTGGCTATTTCGCGCGCGGACATTGCTGAGCTCGGGGGCTGTGTCCAAGTCATAAAGGCGAGCAGGGTCAATAGTGACCTTGAAGACCTCCTCGATAACCTTCTTGACTTCGTCACGTTCCTCGTCCTTGCGAACACGTTCTGCGAGCAACATGAAACCATGCTCCGCGATCTCTTGCCGCGTTTCTGCTTCCCGCAGTGCCCAGCGGAAAAGGTCTCTGAGCGTCGCAAAACTGTTCTTTTGCTCGAAGACCCGGCTCTCTTGCCGAAGACGGGTAAGTTGCTTGTAGACGGACACGATGCGGCGGCAGTCAGACGGTGCCGTGTTGCGGCTGCGCTTTTGCAAGATAGTCTCAAGCTCGCTCTCAGGGATGTCGTCGAAGTGAAGCTCAAGGAATCGGTTTCGGAACGCCCGAGAGAGAACTTTTCTGCCTCCATACAAGCCCGGAGGGTTTTGAGTAGCAAAGAGACAGAAGTTCTCTGCAGGTCGCACAATTTCTTGCGTCTCGGGAATCAGGAGCTCTCTGTTGTCGTCCAAAAGGCGGTTGAGGGCTTCTAAAACGTCGGTAGGGGCCAAATTCAGCTCGTCCAGCACGATCCAGGATCCTTCCCTCATGGCTTGAACCAGCACACCCTCCTGAAACTTGAGCTTCCCTTCCGAGTCGGACACATATGTTCCTAGATATTCTTGAAGATCTGTGTGCTCGTGGTTGTTGATCCGTACGAACTTGTTCCCAGTGTAGTTGGCCAGGTACTCGATCATGCTCGTCTTGCCTGCTGACGTGGGCCCCTGAATCAGGATGGGGTATCTGCGGGTGGATGTGGCGCGGACCAGATTTAGCAGGTTCCGCTCAACATACGGCGTAATGATGTAGTCCTCCCTCTCTATCAGCATCTCGTTTCCTCGGAGCAGCCAGTACTGGTGGTCCTTATTCGTGTTCTTGAAGGAAACGTAATCCTTTCCGTCCGTGGGCTTTTTGGGCGGTATGGTGAGGATGTTTGACCGCTTCAGGAGATGTTGGTGGATCAACGGCATGACTGTCCGCTCCGATTCCTCGCTGAGCAATGTTGTGAAGCACATGCAGAAACCCTCGTAAAGCGCCCGTTCTAGGCCGTAGAAAGGAGAGACGTCGTTGGCATACGTCAAGACACGGGTCAAAGTGCGCAGACTGAAATGCGGCACCTCGTTCGCCCGGTCCACCAACAGCTTGAGTTCTGCTCGCTTCTTGATTTCGAGGTAGAGATCGGCAACATCATCAGCCACTCGGTCGATATTATTATTATTCCCCTTGAGGTAGGTCTTGATGATGGTAAGCAGGTCCTTCTTGTCCCGGTCCGGACTCCCGACGTAGATCTCTGTGAATCGTGACCTCAAACCGAGCGGAAGATCACGCTTGCCGACATCGGTGGCTGGGTTCATGGCTCCGAAGACCCGGAAGTTAGGGTGTGCTTGTATCCTCTCAATCTCTCCCGTCTCGGAAAGAAGAAGGGAGGGTGTGGTCTGGAACAGCCCTGCGATGCTTTCAAGCGTGTCTGGAGAGGCTAGGTTGATCTCGTCGAGGAGAACCCAGTCGCCGTTCCTCGCAGCCTTGACGATTTTGCCCTCGACAAAGGCGAAGGCGAACCCAGCAGAGCCGCTTGCAATCTGTCTGTCAAACTGATCAAGGCTTTGGGAAAATAACGCCCAACGCGGCTTAAGATCGTGCAACCGTTGCAACTTAGTGGACTCGGTCCGCCTGCGTTTCGCGGGCTGCCCATCCGCAGCCTCGGTACGAGTTTGGCTGGTTTCCAGCTGGGCCAGGATAGCCTCAAACATCTTGGGAGCCTTCCGCCATTCCTTCGAGACCTCTTTCCATCGACCCTTGACAAACCGCTTGGAGATGCGTTCTAGGTATTCCCTATTCTTCTCGGCGGAAACACCAGTCCTCTCAAGAAGGTCCTCAAACTCCTCCTTCAGGGGCATTGCAAGGCTCTGCGAGCTGACAGGCTTGAACCCGCCCAGAAGGTCGCCGGCCTCACTCTGTTGTGACAGATTCACAGCGACCAGCTGGCGTCCGAGGGATTCTGCCAGTTGCTGAATCACTGTTGTCTTGCCGATACCCGTTTCACCAACCAGCAGCAGAGGTTCGCGGTGCTTGACGGCGACGGAAATCTGCTCAAGCAGCCTCTTGGCATGGACTGTGGTAGCGAACGGCCTTTTCGACTTGGTGACCCTGCTTGTCCGTCGCGGCTTGACGAATGAGGCACGCCCAATGGTCAGCCTGGACTCGCCGTCCTCCATATCCGGGATGTAGCCTGTTAAATAGTGTTGTACTCGCTCAGATGAGAGATGCATCTCCTTGGCAATCGCCGCCACCAGAATCTTGCGGGCTGACGGCTCATGCATGCTGCTAACGAAACAGTCCACGGCCTCGAGGAACATGCGATCTCTCGTCGTATCCGTTATGGGCTCGTCGCCAGTCTTGCAGCCAGCCGCTCGTAGGATGTCGTCGAGTCTGCTGCACCATTTCAAAAGGTCTCTTGTGCTGATAGGGCGGTCCAGGGCGGTCCGACCGAGGGACAGACGAGTCGACCCGCTGGTGCAGGCAAGGAGTTGGTCGAACACGGCCAGCACACCGGGCGTGTATTTGTGCAGCAGGGGGTACCTGCCGGTGATGACCTCTTTCAAGTCGTCCCGGGGCAGGGTCTTGACATGTAGCAGATGCCACAGACGCAGACCGATCAAGTTTGGTAGATTTTCCCTGTCGTTCATGCCCAGCTGAGTCCGGACGGTAGCGAACATTCGAAACCCTGATGCTGCCTGAATCCTTTCCCCGCGGCCGGGAATTAGAAGCTCATCCCGTTCGATGAGTGGCAGTAATGTGCTCATAACCTCGGTTGGAGCGCGGTCAAGGTCTTCGATAAGCACCCATCTCCCCTCCCTTACTGCAGTCGTTAGGACACCCGGACGCCACTGGAAGGATCCGGGCTTTGAGTCTGTCGTGTACAAACCGAGAAGCATCTTTGCGTCTGTCTGTTCGTTGAGGTGGAGCGTTACCATCTCCTTTTGCTTGCCCAATTCTCTCGAGATCTCGTGCACTAGGGACGTTTTACCCGCCCCTGAGAGGCCATGTAGCAATACAGGGCCCGACTGTTGCAACATGCTGCTGAGGTTCTCAAGGTTCTCAACAGTGGTCGGTGTGAGAGCTAGCGTGCTAAAAGTGTTCACAGGGCCCAGAGGCCGAGGGAGAACTGTCTTGCCATACTTGACAACAAGAGGTGTTAGATTTTGCATTGAGACGCTGGACTGAATAGAGTCAGACTCGGAGACTCCATCTGCCTGAAGACTACTGCGAAGATGCTGGGCCTCTTGGTTCCTTGCGTCCTCGTACAGGCTTAGAAACGCGTAATCCGCTCTCCTCCCGTCCAAATCCGCAACGAGACTGGCGTCCTTGGAGATATGCCTGGCCAATAAAGCCTCCATCTTTTGGTCTGAGGCATCATGAAGTTGGCAGAATAACCTGATGGCGAGGTATCTGACTGTGGGGTCCTGGTGGGCATATAATGACTGAAGTTGGGAAGGTCTTGACAAGGGCGAGAATGTTCGTTTGTCAAAATTGTTGAGCCTCCATAAAGAGAGCAGGACGATAGGAAGGTCTGCATCTTGAAAAGATGCCAAGTCAAGGGAACCAAGTGCCTTCACTCCAGCACCTCCTCCCACTTCTTGTTGCAGGTGAGAGATGAGAAAGACAGACAAGGACGGCGAAAATGGTATAATCCGGGAAAATGATGCAAGCACTCTCACATCGAGTTTCGGATGAGACAGGACCCATCTGGCGCAGATATCTGGGAATACCGATTCGAAGTGGGCGAATATCCTGTCTGTGGCGGGGGAGACGAGGGCTGCGTTTGCGATAGCCTCTAATAATTGAGTTGAGCTGCGATCTTGGATCAAGAGCAGGAGTTCGCGGGGCAAAAATTGTATTGCTGCCGCATCACCAAGTAGAGATTCCCTCTGCCGGCTCACGTCGATCGTGGCCATTCTCGGCGTCGGAAATGGCGTATTTTTTGTCGATATGACTTTGTTTGAGTCGCGACTTGTATGCAACTCGATACCCTCTTCCCAATCTCAACTTTTTTTTCTTCATTCAGAAAAGTCAAGGTGGGGCATCTCCAACAGCTGCATGGGGTGTGTTGCAGACGGGGACAGGGCCCCTGTCAAACCCAACACCCCAGCTGCCCAGAGGCCGAGTAGTCGTCCCATCCAGCTGTCCGCCACCTGGCCGGCCGGGCTCACCAGCCGCGCCGGTAGACTTTTCGAACGACGGCCGAAAAAATCTCCGGGATTTCGACACCAGTAGCACCCCATCGCGAGGCCAATCCGCACCCCCGACGCCCCAGCCGGCCGATAACCCACCGTTTCCCAGCGTCTCGTCCTCGAACCCCTCAGTTTCCCCGCCATGTCGCTCTCTTGCAGGTACGCAGCCCAATGCTGCGCCCGCCAGCTCCGCACGAGCAGCGCCGCTCCGATCCGCGCCTCGAGCTCCCTCCTCCAGCAGCAGCGCATGTCGCGGAGGTACAACTCGACCGAGGCTGCCCCCGCCGCCACCAACCCCAAGATCTCAGCTATCGTCGACCAGATTAGCCAATTGACGCTGTTGGAGACGGCGGACCTCGTTTCGAGCTTGAAGGTGGGGAAGACCAACAACCACACGCAGTAGCGGCAGCTGCAGCAGCAACAGCAGTGGCAGCCGTGACAGCATCAAAAACCACCAAAGCCGTGCTAACATGACATGCTCCGATCCACAGACCCGTCTCAACATCCCCGACCTCCCCGTCGGCGGTTTCGCCGCTGCCCCCGCCGGCCCCGCAGCCGCGCCAGTCGAGGAGGAGGAGGCAGCGCCCGCGGCGGCCGAGAAGACGCTTTTCACCGTGAAGCTGCAGTCGTTCGAGGCCGGGTCCAAGCCCAAGGTCATCAAGGAGATCAAGAACCTGCTGGGTCTCAGCTTAGTAGACTCCAAGAAGTTCGTCGAGAGCGCGCCCAAGCTCATGAAGGAGTCCGTACCGAAGGACGAGGCCGAAAAGATCCTGGCGACGATGAAGGAGCTGGGCGCTGTGGTTGTCATCGAGTAGACGAAGGACGAGGCATCAATATGGGAGAGATGTGGTGTTGAGCCACAAGGGGGGGAAATGCCGCTGCCTAGCTAGTTAATGGTCAATGGTCTATGGACGGGTAGAAAGGCGGACCAGGGCCAGGACCAAGGCGGGCCAGACCGGCATGTGACGATTACGATCAGCCTGCGGCTGTTCCGCTGCATGTACAAAAGAGCATGTAACAATATAACCATATACCAGCATCCCAAACTGTGGTGTATGATGTTGGAGGTTCGGCCAATGTGCCCGCTATCTTTTCAAACCAACCGTTCAATACATTCCTGATCAAGGCATAGGGAATAACGGCATACTCATACTCCCTCGGCTCTTTACCTTGACGAACGCCAGTCAAGTTTTTACCATGCCCACCAACCCATAAACGCCATGCAATGCAATATCTGACGCCCACGCCCACTAAACGCCTCGTCAATGCGCACCATTAGCGCCCTCCTTACGATGCGAACACTTCCGCGCTTCGAACTCAGCCTCCCATTCCGCCCACTCCTCCTCTCCCATCCGATGGTCGTCCTCCCCAAGATCACTCGTCTCTTCCCAGAGCTTCTCCATCTCGGCGTCCTCGCCGGGCGGAACCGCCCAAATGTTTTCCCTCTGCCGCTTGTGCCGCTCCCGGTCCTCCTCGATCCGCTGCTCGGTCTGCTTCTTGTCCAGCTTCGGGGGACCATTGCCCTTCTTGTTGTAAGGCGGCAGCGTGCGTGACGGGGGCATGTCGCCGAGATTATCGGGGATGCCGTCTCCGTTGAGAGGAGGTGAGGACATGGCGATGTCTTGGGCTGAAGCGTCGCGCTCTTTGAGCACTTCTTCGATTTGGGTTACGGCTTGGGCCTCGAGAAAATTCTTGCTCTGGAGTGCGTGGAGGACCTGTAGAGTCGGTTAGTTGGCAGCTTGATAACGATGAGGGTAGAAGAAAGGAGGGCTCGCCTTCCGGACCACCTTAACGTTCGCGGCCCCCGACCCATCATCTGGCGCTACCGCATCCACGACACGAATAATGTCACGCTGTATCATGCGCACGTAATCGTCGTAGCCGTCCCTATGGGCTATGTCGAGAAAGTGTTCAATGAAGTACATGATATTGGCTCGCGTATTCATATTATTCTACCGTCTCAGTCAGCTACAGCCACCACGTGATTCTCGAGGAACCAAGTTGAACGCACTCTTTCGAGCTGTTCCAGGATGCACGAGTGCAAGTCCTCGGCCATGTCTCGGTATTTCAAAGCATACTGTGCTGCCTTCTGAGCCGATGTCACAGATGCGTTGAGCTGGCGCAGCTGGTTAGTAAACCGCATGCGCACTTCAAACGGGTCTGCCATGGCGTAGTCGTTTCTTCGTTTGTTTAACTCTTGTCGTCAGGTGTTAAGCGTATTTTGTATGAAAATGACGGCATTGGCTATGAAGTGGGATTGGTCCTTTCATGCGATTTGCGTGGTGTTTGGCATGTGGAAGCTCGCGTTCGGTAGGCGGATGTCGAAACGGCGCGCTTCCTTGCACCTCGCCACCATGTGCTTGCTGTTGTCAGACGAAGCTCTTTGGCTCTTGGCGTTGTTGGTTGCAAGGTCAGAGTTTCTGTCCCAGGAAGGTTATTTCTCCCATTAGACTTCAACTGGTTGTGATGAGGTTGTGAGATTATTTTTGGAATTTTGTCCGAAAGAAAGAGAGATAATAAATTAAATAACTAAAAAGAACTAGTTATTTAGAAGGGCAAAAAAGAATATGCTTTGGAGCTCCAAAGATCGCGCTTCGTCACGGTCCTTTGATTTCGATCCATTTGGGAGCCAGGAACACTAACCTGTTTAAGTAGGCGGTGAGTGTTGCTCAAGCACTGCGGGGGAGGGGTTCTTTAGCCACCCCCAAAACTTTTTTGGTCTGAAGTGAGAAAACTTGGGTGAAACGGGGGCAAAGTACCTATCATGTATTAGTAGGTAGTTTGAGGTTGTTTAAATAGTTAAAAACCATCCAATTCGTCCCATGCATATAATCTTTTGGTTTCCCGATCTGTGACATAGGCTTTTTCTATGCAGGCTCCTTCGCTTGAACCGTTAGTTGCCGAACTCGACCCGCTGCTCGAAGGGGATCTTTGAAGGGGCCTCCTCCGACTTACAGATAACACCACTTCTCCCTCCAAGTTCTCTTTTACCTCTCCGAACTCGGGCCCTTCCAGTCCCAACCCAACACCACCAGACCACCACCAAACCACCACCACGAAGATCACAAGATGAGTGCATCTCAAGACGGCAGCTCCTCCGAGCTGACCGTGGCCGTCCTCGGCTGCGGTAAGTGCCACCACCATCTCAGCTTCATCTCGCAAAACTGACACGCCCAGGGACTATGGGCATCGCCATTCTCTCCGGCATTCTCGCCTCGATCAGCGAAATGCAAGACGCCAACATCAAACCCTCTGTCTCGGGCACCTCCACCCCGCTCTACGAAACCACCACCACCACCCGTCTCCCCTCGCGCTTCATCGCTTGCGTGCGCCGCCCCGAGTCGGTCAAGAAACTCAAAGCGACTTTCGCCGCGCACCTCTCGGCCGTGACCATCGCGCAGAACAACAACGTTGCCTCGGTCCGGAAAGCCGACGTCGTCATCCTCGCCTGCAAACCCTACATGGTGCAGGAGGTCCTCTCCGAAGCCGGACTCGCGGCGGCGCTCGACGGCAAGCTGCTGATCAGCATCCTCGCGGGCGTGACCGAGTCCCAAATCGAATCGACCCTCGCAGCAGCCAACGACCAAAAGCCGGTACCGTGCCGCGTGGTGCGGGCGATGCCCAACACGGCGTCGCTGATACGCGAGAGCATGACGGTGATCGGCATCTCCAACCCGCCGCTGGACCCGGACACGCTGGGGCTGGTGACGTGGATCTTCAAGCGCATCGGCGAGGTGGTCTACCTGCCGCCGTCGACCATGGACGTGTGCACGTCGCTGTGCGGCTCCGGCCCGGCCTTCTTCGCGCTCATGCTCGAGGCCGCCATTGACGGCGCCGTCGCCATGGGCCTGCCCCGCGCCGAAGCCCAGCGCATGGCCGCGCAGACCATGAAGGGCGCGGCGGGGCTGGTGCTGAATGGGGATCACCCTGCGCTGTTGAGGGATAAGGTCAGCACGCCGGGTGGGTGCACGATCGGGGGGTTGTTGGTGTTGGAGGAGGGGCGGGTGAGGGGCACGGTTGCGCGGGCGGTGAGGGAGGCGACGGTCGTGGCGAGCCAGCTTGGGCAGGGTGTGCAGGGGGTGAATGGGACGAGGTTTCCTGGGAGCCAGTTGCAGTAGGAGGGAGGGGTGATAAGCTCGGGGTGAAGATATAAAATCTTCGTTTCTTTCCGGGTCATGGGACGCGATGTTTCGGGATAGACGAGTGTTAAAAAATGGTTTCAATTCTTGAGAAGTCATCGGCAAGTATCTTTCAAATGCCAACGTCCCTTCATCTTAAATAGAGATAAAGAGTGCCGCACCCAACGCCGTAGTGTACATAACCCACAAAAATACATACAATGGCTACATGATATCCATTACCAGCCGCCCTTCCCAGCCCCGGAAGAAACGGCAATATACTGAGATTACTTTGGTGATCTCAGCATCCTTCATTCATCCTCAACCCTCGCCTTCTTGCTGGCCGGCTCCTCGCCGCCATCCGCCGCCTTGCGCTTCCCGTTTGCCGACGATCCATTCGCAGTCGCCGCCGCCGCCGCCTCCTTGGGCTGCTCCTCCGCAAGGCGCTGCTGCTGCTCGTCTGCCCTGGCTAGGAGCCGCGCATAGTCAAATTCAACACTCGACACCGTCTCCTCCAGCTTGGAGATGCGCTCGGGAATCTCAAGCTCGCCCAGCGCGTCCTTGTTGTGCCTGTATATCCTCTTCTTGAGCATCAGCCTCCACAGGCGGTACTCGTGCTTCTGCTCCTTGGTTGCATTGGGAGCCGACTTCTCTGGGGAAATCCCAGGCCGAACGGGCTCCGGGAGCTTGGACATGAGGTGCATCTCAAGAACCCGCGCGAACTGGCGGGGGGCCATTTTGGCTTTAATACGCACGGCCTCGCATGCCGCCTTATCGACGATGTTGTTCGGCGCGGCGCCGACTTTGGGGATGTCGATGTCTGTGTTGATGCCGAGATTTTGGAAGTCGGGTAGCTGGCGCAGGTACTGCAGGTCGGCAATGTCGCGCAAATCGTCAAAGGCCTCGTTTGGGTCCTCAACTGTAATTTCCGTCGTTTGCGGATGCTTGATGTACTCCCCAAAAATATGACTGTATAGTCTAGGACCTAACCCCTTGCCTTGGAAGGGAGGGAGGACAATGAATTGAGAGATTCTGTTGCGACAGGGGAGTTCGGACAGGTCGAAGTCTTGGGCAAGGGTCGCTTTCTCTACGTCGGCCTCTGAAGGGGACTGGGGAGGTGTAAGCGGCCGGAAGTGGAAGAAACGGTATACGGTGGAGTAACCCGCAAAGACGTAAGGGTTGCTGTCGGCATCGCTCGAGGCTGTACTCTTCTGGTACAGAAAGAAAACGGTCCACCGGTCGGCATCGGGGTCGTCCAGATCAATCGCGCTCCCACCTTCGATGAATAGCGGAACGAGGATCTGGATGCGGCTGATTAACTGCCTGACGGCGGGGTCCGCGATGTTCCCCTTCCAAATCTCAAATGTCTTGCCCTTCACGTCGAACGTCGTTGCAAGCTTTCCGGGAGGGGTCCAGTTTTTCCGGAGGTCCTTGATCGCTGTCTCAAAATCCTTCTTCTTCTGGAACGCAACGTCGGGAAGAAACTCGCGTAGAATACCGTCGATATCAGTCGCCTCCGTATCTCCTATGGCGTCGAACTTTTTGCCGTATGTGATGGACAAGTTCGGTCGCATATCGCTCGCATTGTACCGGAGGCTGACCTTGAGGTTCTGGTAGCCGAATATTTCCTCGCTGTCGCCAAAAATGGGGTAGGTAAATTTTGGGCGGAAGCTGTCGCCCATAGTCTTAGCTCCCGCTGGAGAAGGGGATACGAGCGACAGGAGCAGCGCGTCGTTCGAGGACGTCGACCCTGGGGAAAGATTAGCTTTCAATACTAGAGATTTGGATAACTGAAGACCTCACAATCGCCGTCTGAGGCCATATTTGGCAATGTTGTTTATGTCGATTTCAATAAATCTGGGAATAGTTCGGGAACGAAAGTCGCAAAACCACAATGGCAGTGAAGAAAGTTGCTTGTTCGCAAATCGCGACGCGCTCTGGGCACGGTTATGATGCGCGCTGGTTAATTGAGGGAGAGCTCGGACCACATAGCCCCACATAGCCACCTTGCTGTCTTCTCTGCAACAGCAAGCTTCTCCTACCCGTTTTTCCTTTCTCTATCCTGACTTTTTACTTCAGATGATAGAGGACATCTTCCTTTTAGGCAGTAAATTTTATCAATTCCCACGGTCTCAAAAAGTAGAAACCCCCCAAGCACATCGTACCTCTTCAATTCTATGCACAATTCCAGAGTGCAGGAACGCCAGGGGTACCACGAGAGAGCAAGATGGAGCTAACCCAACATGGCAAAGTGTAACGGGAGCGACGGGCTGCGGGGCAAGCCATCTCGGTCGATCTGCCTCCAGGCTGAATCAGGGTCCAACCAACCTGCCCAAGCGCCAGTCAAGCCGTCCGAGGAACTCCAGAAAAATCATTCCGTCACACCGCAAGCTTTGTCGAACAACGCCAATGAGCTGACGAGAAGGATTTTGGAATTCCAGCTTTATAGCCGTGTATTAATCAATCGCTGTTCGACATGGCCGGCTTAATATTTCTTATCGCGACCTCCGTGAGTGGCCGCCGCGAGCTTTGGAACATTGACCATCCATGACAAGATGATGCGCTAACTGCTTGTCCCGATAGGTCATCATGGCCGTGGCGTGAGTCTTTCTTAAATATATGTGTCTTGATTCTGGCGCAAGCTAACCCGTATGTGTGACAGCTCCTTTCTTGCCGGCGCACTCCCGTTGTCGTTCTCCCTTTCGCACTCACAGCTGCGGCTCATCGCCTCTCTCGGGGCGGGGTTACTTGTTGGCAGTTGTTTGATTGTTATCTTACCGGAAGGAATTGAGGCCCTTGCGGCGGCCTCGCAGCAACACCCACACCCACCCCCACAGCCGAAGCGGCGGGCGCTGGGTGGGATATCCGGACGAGCCGAAGAGGAGCATGCGGGCCAGGATCGCGAACTACCCGCTTTCAGCATTGGATTCGCTCTGGTCATTGGCTTTGCGCTCATGTTCCTCGTTGACCGACTGCCCCGCCATGCGACAGAGAGGTTTCAATCAGCGCCGACAAGTAGGCACGTCAGCCTGGAGGATCTAGCTGGGTCAAGCGTGTCGGGAGAGGAGGAGTCAGAGGGCTTCTTGGGCTCCCTTGCGCCGTCGCCGAAGCAGAGCCGTAGTCTGGCCACTACGCTGGGCCTCGTTATACATGCGGCGGCTGATGGTATCGCGATGGGGGCTTCGGCCACGACGTCCAACCTGAGCGTCGGCCTCATTATTTTCTTCGCGATCCTAGTGCACAAAGCGCCAGCTGCGTTTGGGCTGACTTCGATTCTGCTGAAGCAAGGCCTCTCAAAACGGGCGGCGCGGGTGCACCTCATGGTGTTCAGTCTTGCCGCTCCCGCGGGAGCATTGGCAACATATTTTATCGTTTCACTAGTCGGAGGCGACAGCATGGAGGGCGAGTCAGCACAGTGGTGGACTGGCATGTTGCTCCTCTTCAGCGCCGGGACATTCTTGTAGGTTTCGTGTCTGCCCCCTTAACACCGCCGCGTGATGCACTAACCCCGCCCTAGGTACGTCGCAATGCACGCGATGCAGGAAGAAAACAACTCGGCGGGCCATGACCACCATGCCAGCGGGAACGGGTATTCTGAAAGCGGCGGCTCTTCTCACAAGAGGCAACCCAAACTTCAGCTGCGGGATACACTTGCGACAGTGGTGGGGTTTTTGCTACCATTGCTGACGCGGTTCGGCCACCACCATCATTGACATGTATTGACATGTAGTAGGTTTGGTGTCTTGGGTCTGGCGTTTGGTTAGAATAGGTGTCGAGCGTGCCATGCTTCAGCATAAAAAGCGGCGTGGCTTAGAGCGGGCGTTTTGGAATCCAGCGTTTCACCCCCAATTGCAGTGGACTAGCTCTCTTGGCCCGTCACGAGTGTGCCAAACAGTTCGGCTCAGGCTAGTCTGAACAACCCATTGCGTTCAGACACACAGATTGTAGCGAGTGCAGACACTCACATCTTGGTTTTCGTAGGTGTGGTAACACCAGTTTCCATGGCCTTGGGTGGTTTGATGACGCAACCCTTGGGTTATGATCCCTTCCAATGCCACTTGCAGTTGAACGGCCAGGCTCCGGCGAAGCGAAAAACGCTCCGACTGAGGCTAAATGTTGCAACGGCCTGGGCAAGTGGGGGCGTTTCAGGCACAGTCCTGGCGGCGCTGCCGGTTGTTTCATGGAACTGATGGGTTGGACGAGATGCGTCTGACCTTGATTGCGTCCCCAGCAGCGGAATCGATGGAGAAGGCAACACTTTTCAGTCTCATCTCGAATTATTAAAACGAGGCTGAGCAAACTTGGGAGACGGCGTTGTAAGTCGCAAACTGTCTCGAGACTGTAAATCGTGCGACAAAGAGGTTCACGATCTAGGCCTGCCTAATCTGCCATTTTTGGTAGAGAAGGCATGCTGGCAGTGACTGGTTTTCTTATTTTGGGGTGATAACCGACAAACTGTCCTGTGGCAGCCGCAAACATTGACCGAGGGAAACAGAAAGCGCCCTCGGGCACTCAACCCTTGTTGCATCTCTCATCCTGTTCCGTTCCGTGCGCCCGCATCGGACGGACATCAGCGAGGCATGACAGACGGACACAGCAGCAATCTCGATGCAGGCTGATGCAATCTCTCGCGGTGCCGTGTGCCTCGGGTGGGTAGCGGCACAGCCCGACAAAGCACATTGGGCCCGGAAGTTGGGTAACCTTCCGAAGTGCCAGTCGTCGGCTCCAATCCCTGGGGTTGTCCTTGCTGGCCACTCCTCAACCCGTTCTCAAATGTTAGCATTGAACGGCCCTCTCGTTCGTCGTTTGTGCGCATGTCCTTGTACACGACTGTGTAAATAGGCAAGGTAAAAAGACCCTGAACCCGGCAAGAACTCCGCCTCGGCCTGTCGATCTACTGGTACAGTTTGTAAGGACAAGGTTTCGGATTATTATAGCTTTTTTGGCGGACTTCGCCGCTTAGCAAAAAATCATAACTCGTGCAAATGTTGCAACGCGCTCAGCCGGCGGCGATAACGGTCTTGCCATGGAGTGCCAGTTGCCGCAAAGTGGATGCTGACATGCAGGACTTGAAGGGTTCAAAAGGCTGTCAGTGGAGAGGTTTCGAGGACGACAAGGGCCCTGCTGCCGTGCTCCGCTGCTGCCGGGCATTGTTGGACATTCGTGACGACCGAACCAGAACGGCCGGGCTGCCCAATGTGCCAGCACAAACGTGGAATGACGGGATGAGGTTTTGATGCGAGCGAATGCCCTCAGAGAAGCGGTGGGCTTTCTGTCAAATGATGGAACCAACCCACCCGCAACCCATCGTGGCTCCATTTGATCAAGGGTTGAAAGGGTTGAGGGAGGGGGGTTGTAACAGGTGGCGGATGTGCAAGGGCCTCAGGTTGGGTGCGGCCCTGGAGGCGTCGATAAAGTGGGACCGTGCCATTTCCATGTGGGGCAGCTCCAGACAATGGCAGACCCCTGGGCCTGGCCGGTCAGCTTGCTCCTCATTCGGCGCATGGGAATTCAGGGAAGAAGCGCCCCTTCCCGCCTCGTATTTCTTCCCCTTCCTCAGCCCTCGCATCCGAACCTAAAGCAGTTGGCCTTCTCCACGACCTCCCTTGAACCCCGCGAACTTGACGATCTGGAAGGGCATTTTCATGGTGTAACACGCGCGTTTACACCAGACTTTGCCATCCCTTCCTATCGCGTGCGCTCAACCTACCCTCAGTTCCAGCGCCCCTTTTCCCTCTTTCCCTCCATCCCCCATCGAGTTCGTTCATCACCTTCGTTTCGAGCGACTCGCGACTTTCGATCCCCGGGCTGTTGATCGTGATCTGCTCAGTTTGCCAGTGGACGACCCCCGCACGCGTGCAGCACATTTGTGACTTGCTTACCTGCAAACCTCGATCCCGAACCGTCACGATTCGAGCCGAACATCCCGACGTCATATCCTCAAATTCCCCCCGTTCGACGATCGATTACCTGCACTCCCCGCGATATAGTGAACTCCGACCTAGGTGCTCATATTTTGATCAACCTGGCGTGACATAGTAGCTGCAGGTCGCGATTCCGCCGTTTTCCTTTGCGCATATCGAGATGCCGCCCTACAACCGGCCGGTCAGCTTTTCTGAGCGAAGAGGTGCCATCTTCAACGAGGAATTGTCGTTGAATACCCACAATGTGAAACTGTCGCAGCAACGGCCAAGGGGGCCACCGACACCGAGCATGAGTACGCCGGCAGCCGACTTCGAACAAGTTACTGGCTCGCCGCCACCCCCGCCGACGCCTGCAGCCTCTCCCGGACCGTCACACTCGAGACTGAACTGGAGCAATGCGGGAGAGGACGAAGAGGCCTATCTTTCTGGGCTGCGAAAATACTTTGTGCAGTGCAATGGCGGCCAGAGGACCCGGCTGCTGGCAGACCTCTTGAACCTTTGCACCAGTGGGCAACTGAGTTTTGTTCACCAGTTTGTCAGCCCCCTGCTCAAGAAGGATCCTTTCACCACCCTTCCCGATGAGTTGTGTCTTCGAGTGCGTTTCCGACACCTTAGATCTTGACCCTGGACCCCGCGACTGACGTTTTGTAGATCCTTTCCTTCATCGATGACCCGAAAGTCCTAGCCCGCGCGTCGCAAGTGTCGCGGAGATGGCGGGATTTGCTAAGTGATGACATGACGTGGAAGAACCTGTGCGTGAAGCATGACTACCAGCGGAGGCTATCCGAGGTCCAACAGTCTATGCAACTAGTTGCAACCGCAAGGCCCGAGGCCTATTCCTTTGGCCAACAGGACGAGGACTCGGCAAGCCAAGGATTCTCCGCACTCACCTCGACTTCCCTACCGGCAACCTTCAGCATGGATTCGAATGCACGACCCGTACTCAGGACCTACAAGTCCCACTTCAAGCAGAGGTACCTAGTTGATGCAGCTTGGCGTACCGGCGGCCGCAACGTGTCGCGCAACATAACACAAGACGGCGGCGTTGTTACCAGCTTGCACCTCACTTCCAAGTATATCATCGTGGCTCTCGATAATGCCAAAATCCACGTGTTTGATACTGAGGGGAACGCCCTCCGTACCTTGCAAGGCCATGTCATGGGCGTCTGGGCTATGGTTCCTTGGGACGACATTCTGGTCAGCGGCGGGTGTGATCGTGATGTCCGTGTTTGGGATCTGGCTACTGGGTGAGTTGTGCTTCCATCCGATGCAGTCCTGCGTTGCTAACCACCCCCTAGTGCATGCTTGCACACGCTGCGGGGCCACACCTCGACTGTTCGCTGCCTCAAGATGTCAGACGCCAACACCGCGATCTCTGGGTCCAGGGACACGACCCTCAGGGTATGGGATATGAGGACCGGGGTGTGCAAGAACGTGCTTGTCGGCCACCAAGCAAGCGTCCGTTGTTTGGAGATCAAGGGCGACATCGTGGTTTCCGGAAGCTACGACGCAACAGCAAAGGTCTGGAGCATTTCGGAGGGCAGGTGTCTGCACACACTCCAGGGTCATTACAGCCACATCTATGCGATCGCTTTCGACGGGCAGCGGGTCGCAACCGGAAGCTTGGACACCAGCGTCAGGATATGGAACGCTCAGACCGGGTAGGTTATTCTAGCCCACTACATGCTTCTCCTGCCGAACTAACTGATCGTTCTAGCGAGTGCCAAGCTATTCTCCAGGGACATACGTCGCTTGTGGGGCAACTGCAGATGCGCGGCGGCACCCTTGTCACTGGCGGCAGCGACGGATCTGTGAGGGTATGGTCACTTGAGCGGTTCTGCGCCATCCACCGCCTTGCAGCCCATGACAACAGCGTCACGAGCCTGCAGTTTGACGACACCCGGGTAGTCAGCGGCGGGAGTGACGGGCGGGTCAAGGTTTGGGACCTCAAGACAGGCAACCTTGTCCGCGAGCTGGTCACCCAAGGCGAAGCAGTCTGGCGCGTTGCTTTTGAGGAGGAGAAGTGCGTGGCTATGGCGTTGAAGAACAGCAGGACTGTCATGGAGGTAAGCGGACAACAGCCACCTTCTACCTCATCCACAGCAGTTACTAATTCAATCTATAGGTGTGGTCCTTCTCCCCTCCGGAAGAGATGCTGCTGGACGAGCAATCCATGCTACCTCCGAAGCGAAGACTCGACGGGCCAGTACCGGACCGGCCGCTCAGTGCATTCTCCCTAGATTACCGAGCATCTACCTCCGCAATCGGCATACAGGACGTGGATATGACGGATGCCGGGCCTTCAACAGCGCCCCTTCAACAGAGCGGCCCGACCTTCTTCCACGATGAATAAAGAGGCGTTATCGGATATATTGCGGCGAGCACATTTTTTCATTTCTTATTTACTCGCAGATACCCCCCTTCACAGCGGCTCGCAAGCGCAAGAGTTGTTCGTTTCCTTGTTGCACCGGAAGGCGACACACGGGGATACGGTACGAAGCGCAATGACACACACAGAGAGAGAGATACGGGCATTGTTACGGCGTTCCAAGTTACACACAATTAGCATGGCGGTTTCGGCAAAGATATCAGGGTTGCCATTAGGCAAACAAGCATTGGAAGGATGAATTTTCAACATTGGACTCGAATTCGGATTTTACAAGGTCGCCGTCGTGTGGGGAGTACTCAAGCATTACATGCTGCTGATGTTGAGATCATGTGGGGCTGGCCTCGTTGTGAGACGGCGCAGTCCTTGCGGAGTTTGAGCTAGAGGGCTGTCAGTTTATGTGTGTATGGAGTGATTGTAATGGAGTGGCCTATTGTCCTAAGGTGTGCATGGTTGCGTTACTTCCCATCGTCCAGACTACCTGGGTACCTAGTTTAAGATGGAATGATGGATGTTGAACCAACTTCGGTCATCCCCACCATGTAGGTCCGATTCTCGGGTCAAGTCCTTGGTAGACACTCGCAACGTCGTTAATTATCGGCTTTAGCAGCATATCATCGATCCTGAAGCTTTGAGAGTCATGCAGCCAAGTTGATGCCACTGTAGCTTGATGCCTAAATGGCCCAATTGCCTATTCTGAACGATATCTGCGTTTCTTGTGAATTCGAGGCCGGATAGACGTAACAGCACACCAACGGTTCCTCTTATCTCTCGATCTGACAGTCCCACTTGGTGCGATCTTGGCCGGTCCTCTCCGAGCTGTCACAAATAGCGTGAAGGTCCGATGGGCCCGGACAGCCAGCCCCAACCCATGCTAACTCTCCCAAATCGGTTTAGCCCGGGTTCAACAAGCATCATTCCGTTGCCCCAACGCCAAAAACTGGGCCGCCCTTTTTCTCAAACTGCTTGTAGGGCCAGCTTTGCAGCGGAAGCAGAACTTTGCGATCTCGCATACCCACATCGTGTTCTTCTTCTTTTCCCATTCTACTTTTTTTTCCTCCGCCCTCCACCTCCACCCTGTCACATTACACACAATGTTCTCGCGAGCCGTCCGGATATCGCGGGTAGCGCCCCTCCGCGCTGCTCCGCGCGCCCAAGCTGTGTCGATTGTCGCCCGGAGGACGGTCACAACAAATGCGGCTTCGGCGGAGGTTGATAAGAGCTCAATTCCTCAGGTGAGTTAGTGGTGGGACAGGCGACTGTGGTCTTTTTGGGACCAATGCCATGGATGTTTTTGGTTTGCGAGGTTTCCGAATTTTTGGTGGGCTGGGTTGGGCTTGGGCGAGGAATTGGCGCTTTTGCTAACGATGGTGCTCGGAATAGGCCGAGGAGGAGCCTTTCCACATCAAGCTCAACGATGAGAGCTTCGAGACCTACGAGCTCGACCCGCCCCCTTACACGCTCGAGGTGACTAAGAAGCAACTGAAGGACATGTACCGTGACATGGTGGTTGTCAGGTAGGCATTGCCGGTTTGGAAACCCCGCATAATTTCGCCCGGCTGACGGTGGTGTTTAATAAGGCAAATGGAGATGGCCGCCGACAGGCTATACAAGGAGAAGAAGATCCGGGGTTTCTGCCATCTTTCCACCGGCCAGGAGGCCGTCGCCGTCGGTATCGAGCATGCGATCAACAAGGACGACGATGTCATTACCTCGTACCGGTGCCACGGTTTTGCCTACATGCGCGGCGGTACCGTCCGCTCTATCATTGGTGAGCTGCTTGGCCGTCGTGAGGGTATTGCGTACGGCAAGGGTGGCTCCATGCACATGTTCGCCAAGGGCTTCTACGGCGGCAACGGCATCGTCGGTGCTCAGGTGCCGGTCGGTGCCGGCCTGGCTTTTGCCCAGAAGTACACCGACAGCAAGAAGGCGACCGTCATTCTTTATGGTACGGACTCCAGTACTGTATCATTCGAGAATTATCTCACTGACGATTCATAGGTGATGGTGCCAGCAACCAGGGCCAGGTCTTTGAGGCTTTCAACATGGCGAAGCTCTGGAAGCTTCCCGCCCTTTTCGGCTGCGAGAGTGAGTTCCCTCTCGGTTCCCGCTCGGTGATAATGGCGCACTGATGATTACATAGACAACAAGTACGGTATGGGTACGTCTGCGGCGCGCTCATCGGCCCTGACGGACTACTACAAGCGTGGGCAGTACATCCCCGGCCTGAAGGTCAACGGCATGGACATCCTTGCCGTCAAGGCCGCCGTTCAGTACGGCAAGCAGTGGACTGAGGAGGGCAATGGGCCGCTGGTACTCGAGTACGTCACCTACCGGTACGGCGGCCACTCCATGTCCGACCCCGGCACCACCTACCGCACCCGTGAGGAGATCCAGCGCATGCGGTCGACCAACGACCCCATTGCTGGCCTTAAGCAGCACATTCTCGACTGGGGTGTTGCTCAGGAGGACGAGCTCAAGACCATCGACAAGGAGGCTCGCAGCCACGTCAACGAGGAGGTCGCCGCTGCTGAGGCCATGGCCCACCCCGAGCCTACCCCCAAGATCCTGTTCGAGGACATCTACGTCCGGGGCACCGAGCCGCAGTTCATCCGGGGTCGCACGCCGGATGAGGCCTTCTACTTTAACTAAAAGATCATCTGGAGCCGAGTCTTGTGTTGATGGATTAAACCAGGGAGGACGGATTTATGCCGGAACTGCGAGGTTCTAAGCGTTAGGGGAGTTTTTTTTGTACATTATCCTAATCTGCTATAGAGCCTGGGACGGTCCTGAAATTGAGGTTCGGAAATGGGAAGCCTTGATATTTACAGACTTGTACACTTGCTGCCTGATTCCGTTGGAGTTACCTGGACCAAAAAGTCCTAAACTTCTCTCGGCGATGTTGCCCGCCTCCGTGTGTGTGGTCCAGGCGGTTCCATTGAGGCGCTAGCCTCACTGGCCTAACCAGCTCATGTGACCTGCTGGGCCACTTTACACGACCCCTGCCAAATCTGGCTGCTGCCTTCGCCAAAAGTCGCGTCTAAGCGCGTCACGTCAATTGAATTGCGCCGCCCAATTCATTGCAACCAATGCCGGGATCACGATGCCAATTGTGCCTGCCACGATGCAGCGCTCTGCCTGATCGAGCCGCTTTGCACTGCCCTTTTTCTAGGTCTCTCTCGTACTCTTCTTTGAGATTTTTACCTGCAACTCCACATATAAAAATCTCGAGAACAGGAAGGAGTCCGTCTTCCCCCCATCCATTCTTCCCAACCACCATCTCGTCACGCCACTCATACTTGGCCTCGAGAACTCGAGTTTCCCATTTCCCACCTCCCTGTCACGCAAGTGTCAGGAACTTCACGACCGGCTCCCGACTCTCTCGCCCCCATCCCTGGATCGAAACCCTGCCCGCCGCCCTCGATCGCTACCGCGTGTCGTCGCTGCCTTTGGAACTGAAACGTAGTATTACCGGTTGGGGAGGATACAGTGAGGCCACCATGGCGCCAAAACAGGCAACGCTGGGGTACGTGAAGAGTGGACAAACCACGTTGGGGTTGGTAATTACGAAAAAGAATGCCTTTTGGTGATCACCTGCCGGCGAGGGTTACGTCATTCTTACCTTTTTCTTCGATGGGTTGTCGGGGAGAGATTGTGTTGACATGAGGTTGCAGCAAGTTTTTTGGCCAGGCGAATGGGACCAAGGGGAAGCCGGCGCCGACTCAGCAGACGAAGTTGAGTTTCTCGACGAAGGCGAGCGATAATGCCAAGAAGACTGTTAAAGAGGCCTCTGCCTCTGCGGAGGAAGAGGAGGAGGAGGATGAGGAGGAGGTTGAGAAGGTTGAGTCAGATAAAGGTGCGCTGGTTCAAGGGATGGTGGGATAAGGCTGGGAGTTGGCTAACATGGCTGGACTCACAGAGGCGAGCAAAAAGAGAGGACGGCTTACAAAATCGGCTGCGGCTGCGAAAAAGGCCAAAAAGGAACCTGTTGAGGAGGAAGACGCCGAGGTAGTAGCCCCTGCCAGCAAGCGGCCGAGAAGGGGAAGAAAGGTCGTTGAGGACGATGAGGACGAAGCCATGGAAGATGCGCCAACACCAGAGCCCAAGAAGTCTAAGAAGTCTGCTTCCCCGAAGCCGAAATCACCGCGGAAGGACACCGAGACAACACCGGCCATGAAAACAAAGGCCGAGGAAGATACTCCTGAGTCGTCTTCCGAGGTTGAAGAAGAGGGATCTCAAAGCGAGGGAGAAAAGCCCGGAGTTGCGGCTAAGGCGCGCCAAAAGGTTCAGGCCAGCCTCAAGTCGGAAGTCAAGCATCCATATCCGGATTGGAAAAAGGGCGAGCCAGTACCCTACGCTGCCCTCTGCACTACCTTTTCCCTGGTGGAGCTCACCACCAAGAGGCTTGAGATCATGGCGCACTGCTCCCTCTTCCTGCGCCAGGTTTTACGGCTTACACCAGATGACCTCCTACCGACCGTTTTACTCATGATTAACAAACTCGCCCCTGATTACGCCGGTATCGAGCTCGGCATCGGCGAGTCGCTAATCATGAAGGCGATAGGCGAGTCGACTGGACGCAGCTTGGCAGTCATTAAGCAGGATCAGAAGGAGATTGGCGACCTCGGCCTGGTTGCCGTCAAATCAAGGTCAACCCAGCCCACCATGTTCAAGCCCAAGCCGCTCACGGTACAGGGCGTCCTCAAGGGACTTATGGGAATCGCCACGATGACTGGCAACGGCGCGCAGGGCAAAAAGGTGGACGGCATCAAGAAGCTCCTATCGGCGGCGGATTCGACTGGAAACCGTAAGGTAGACATCACCAAGGACAAGGGCGGCCCAAGCGAGGCCAAGTACATTGTTCGTTTCCTAGAAGGCAAGCTGAGGCTTGGGCTAGCCGAAAGGACAGTTATTGTCTCGTTAGCGCAGGCCATGGTGGCGCACGAGGCGGCCCAAAAGGGCGTGGCGCCGAGCACGGGTGATATTGAGAAGGGGGAGTCGATTCTCAAGGCTGTTTACAGGTTTGTTGCTTGCCCTAGGAATGTCTATCACCATGCTAATATTTTCCAGCGAACTGCCTAGCTACGATGTCATCATCCCCGCGATGGTGGAGCACGGAATCCAGAACCTTAGAGAGCACTGCAAGCTAAGGCCTGGTGTCCCCCTCAAGCCCATGTTGGCGAAGCCTACCAAGGCCATCACCGAAGTCCTTGACCGCTTTGAAAACCAGACCTTCACATGCGAGTATAAATATGACGGTGAGAGAGCTCAGATTCACTACGTCGCCAAGGACACGGACGAGGAGCTCAGCCAGTCGGCGATGAACGCCACCAAGGAGGTCGGCAAAGGTGTGGCTGCCATTTTTTCGAGAAACTCGGAAGATCTGTCCAAGAAATATCCCGACGTTCTCGCCAAGCTTCCCACCTGGGTCAAGGAAGATACCAAGAGCTTTGTCCTGGATTGCGAGTCGGTCGCGTGGGATGTCGAGGAGAAGAAGGTCCTTCCCTTCCAGCAGCTCATGACGCGGAAGAAGAAGGATGTCAAGGTGGAAGATGTCAAGGTCAAAGTGTGCGTGTTTGCCTTTGACCTGCTCTACCTGAACGGGGAGGCGGTCGTGAAGAAGTCCCTGAGGGAGCGCCGCGAGCTGCTCCACAAGTCTTTCCAGCCCATTGAGGGCGAGTTCTCCTTTGCCACATCCATGGACGGCCAAGAACTTGATGATATCCAGACGTTCCTAGACGAATCAGTCAAGGCCTCCTGCGAGGGTTTGATGGTCAAGATGCTGGATGGCGAAGAGAGTGGGTATGAACCGAGCAAGCGGAGTCGGAATTGGCTAAAGGTATTTCACAACGCGATCCATGAACAAGTGAACCCCAGCTAACACCGACCAGATCAAGAAGGATTACCTCTCCGGCATCGGCGACTCACTGGATCTCGTCGTTCTCGGTGCCTACCACGGCAAGGGCAAACGCACCTCAGTCTACGGCGCGTTCCTTCTGGCTTGTTACAACCCGTCTACCGACACATACGAGACGGTGTGCAACATTGGCACGGGCTTTAGCGAAGCGGTGCTCGAGGAGCTACACGGCTCGCTCTCCCAGATCGTCATCGACCGCCCCAAGCCCTTCTACGCGCACAGCTCCGGCGGGCAACACCAGCCCGACGTCTGGTTCGAGCCGAAGTATGTCTGGGAAGTCAAGACAGCTGATCTGACGCTCAGTCCGCGGTACAAGGCGGGTATGAAGGAGGGCGTTGACCCGGGAGGTGAAAAAGGTATCAGTCTACGGTTCCCCAGGTTCATCAAGATTCGTGACGACAAAAAGCCAGATGAGGCGACCAGCAGCCGGCAGGTGGCTGAGATGTACCGGAAGCAAGAGAGCGTGGCCAAGAGCAAGGGGCCGGCAGTGGATGATGATTTTGAGTATTAAGGGGGTCAATTAGTACGTGTCTATCGGTTTGTTGGCCTTTTGGTGTCATATATAGTATCAACCAACGACCAGGACATGCAGGTTTTGCTCTCCCAGCTACGACGTCGGTTCCCACAGTCCCTGGAATGTCCTTGTCCTTCAAAGCCCTCACCACGGGCCCTCGGCAGAACCTCGATGATAACAGGCGTTTCACGATACGCAACCAACTGAACGCAACCAAGCCGATTTTGACTATCCAAAGCGCAGCCTCGTCCCCATGACCCACCAGACAAGTAAGTCCCCCCACGTCTGGTCCATACTCGCGGCCGAGCGTTGTCCAGCAGATAGATACCTCGTCAAGCCCTTGACTGCCCAATCTCTCTTCATATCGATGCCCTGAGGCGAATTGTGGTGTTTTGGCTGCCATGGCCGCCCAGCATGGCCGCCCGCCTTGCCGAAAGAGGTGCCTCGCCCGGTCCCCCCTTGCGTTTAGCGAGTTTGTGTTGGTTGCCATACAGTCGACACAGCCATGTCTCAAGATGCACTTTTGTTGGTTCTCTGTTAACCCCGCACGACAGATCATTTGCACACACAACACATACTGTTGTTGCTGCTGTTGCTGCTGCTGTCTTCGGGGCGGGGTATGGATGTCGACGTGGCAGGCATTCTGAGAAGGCTGACCTGATCTCCCGAGATTGCCTTGGGTTCCCTTGGGCCTGTGACGGGGGGTGAGCAATCGCATTCATTCGCAGTTGGCCTCGGTGACCGACTTCACAGTGAAAGCCTTCTGTCGTGAATGAGGCGCTTTGTCTCGCCGCCTATCTGGGTAGGTCAGAGGCTGTTGTCGTGAATGAGTACTTTCACATGGACCTGTGTCCCGCCGCCTTGCTGGGCAGGTGATGGGCTGCTGCCGTGAATGACTACTTTCACTTGGGTCTCCTTCTCGCCGTCTTGTTGAGTAACTTCGGGCAGTGGTGAGGCGAGGCCCGTCAACCCAACGGGTTAACAAAGGAAGTGGCTGGACGAGGATGAAGATGTATAAATATACAAGGTGGTCATGGCTCTGATGTTTTTGCGGTGTAAACCTCATCTTTATTCACTCAGCCATCAAACTTACAACACCTATCCAACCCTTCCCAAGTTCAAACAATGGTGATACTTCTCGAGGCTCTTACGAGGCCAAACGTCGCGGTCAACTCGGATGCGACTGTCTCAGGTCCGAATACAGATGTCGTTTCAGACTTCGAAATCCAGGGCTGGCTACCATGGACTGACTTCAACTATGCTACGCTTACTCGGATCTTCAGGAGGGAACTCGGACAGGAATACCGCGGTGAGCAGCAGCCGAGACCAGTGCAGCACGACCTAGACATCTACAACGAAGACAGCTTTGACGACCTCCTGCGAAGGTTTGTCAGCCCCACAATCAATTATGTCTTGGAGAATCAGGCGGGCTCTTGCCACTATGGCCGTGGAACTAGGTGCCCTGTGGAGAACTACAAACCGGACTGGTCGGTGATTTCCGATCAGTGCATCAACAGCGACGGGCAGTTCGCGAATATCCTCCCCGGGGACACAAAACTCGATTCCAAATGGCGCCCGGAGATGGTTAACGAGCCCCAGAATCGAGACGAGTGGGAAAAGGTCATCACGCAGATCAGCACTTACATTGCTTGGCATCATTCGCGATACGGGTTCATCATCACAGACGCGCTCGTGGTTGCTCTCAGGATTACCCGCTGCGAGCCAGAGGACGGTATCGCAGGTGGTCCATGTCATCGGGCGGCGGTTCGTCATATGCCGACGACAACCCGCTACAGTGGGCCTACCACTACTCAGAATATGCCGTCGTCCCTGGGCCGCGCACGGGCGGGGCCATCTCACCATCAAGCTTGCCCTCTGGTGTCTGGCCATGATGGCCGCGGGCGGGGACAACTCCATCGACTACTGGTACCCCGCCCTGGACAGCTGGCACGCCGCAGGAGACTTGAAGGGCTACATCCACAACACGTCGGGGGCGAGAAAGGAGCGGCTTCCCAGAGGCGAACAGCTCTACGACACCGCCCCCCAATCCGGTGAGCCGGCCGCAGGCGATTACGAGCCGGCCGCCGCCGCCACGTGGGAGGGGAGCGAGGACCCTGCTGACCCGGGTCACTACGCGAACCTGGCGGGACCTAGTAGCGCTAGCCATGAGACACTGCACTTCAGTCAAGCAAGTAGCCCCTTTGCGAGCGGAGAGTTTTCGGGGGGCCTAGAGACGGCGGAGGAGGGATACGCCGGAGCTGGTGGCGATGATTATGAGGAGGATGAGGGTGCTGGCGGCGGCGACAACGACGACGATGACCGGACCGAAGTTGGGTCTGCTGTCAAACGTGTCACTGTCGCGGTTAAAAAGCACAGGGTTAGCAGAAAGCTTTATTTTGTGGACTCCAGAGGGAGCCAGCGAGACACCTTCAAGGAGGAGTGGCGCAAGGTCCCAGGCGGGTATGAACTTGGTGGGAGGAGGCACGTCTACTTTACCAAGAAGTTTCCTTAGAGGCCGTTTCGCGACGACGCGTTAATGGACGGGCCTCCAAACTGCACCGCCGCCGACTTCGAAATGCCCCGCCTCCGCCGTTGCCCCTTTAAAGGATGTGGGCAACTTTATCTGGGAATCTCGCCTCGGTGAGGGGTTGGATGGATGCGTCTGGAAAGTCCGGTCCGGGAATGCAGGGCCGTTTGTCCTCAAGGTGTTTTGGGATGATGAACCACCCGAGCTCGACCACTACTACGCTCCGCAACGAGAATGCCAAATTTCCGCCCTCCCGCAGATGATGGAGACGGCCGTCGAGAAGGCAGCGGCGGCCTCGTGCCCAATCTTGGTCAAAGCGAATCCGACAAGCCTCGATGACGTCCTGGACAACCATGCCCCTTCTCCGATGAAGCCCGCCTGAAGCAGCAGTCATCACCCCAACAGGAACCGGGACCAGGCTACCGGCAAATAGCGACAATGCCGCGCGTAAAAAAGTGTTATGGCTGGCTGACCGTAAACAGCAACGTGCTCCGGACATTGCCCTGGAAGCTGCGACCGCCTCATATCAAAGTCTCCAAGTTAGAACGCTTCTTCCTGTGCGACAAAGAATACATGGCTATCGTGTACGAATATGTCGAGGAAGGCGAGAATGTCGAGGACGCCCTTCAGGCAGCGATGGACTTCTGGCTCGCCGGTTTTTGCGGCACCCTTTCCCCGCTCCTAAAGAACTGGAAGAGCAGCGTGCTCGTGGATCTGTGCGATATCGTCTACCCTCGCGGATACGGCTGGAAATGGCACTTGTATAGCCGCGGTCCGATGTCCGCATCTTTGCTATTGCAACAGAAGGGGTTACCCCAGGGCCCCGCTTATCCTCGGCCGTTGCCTGCACCCCAGCTCCCCCGTTTCAAGCCCCGGCTACTTCCTACGCCCCGGTCCCCGAGCCAGTCTCCGACTCCGCCTCCACTAACACCCCTAGGCCCGTCACCGAGCCCGTCACCAAGCTCGTCACCAACGCAGCCCGCAGTCCAGTCTCCTCGTTTCTATAGTTTGCTCACAAGGGCTCATCAGACGACAGCTGGACAGAGAGTGCGTAGAAGGAGAATGTCTCCAAATAATCCGCAGGTGTAAAGGGATGAGGGTACCTAGTAAACGAGGGGTTGAGGGGCCGGCCCGGCGTATGCGGCCTTAATCACACCTTGCTAGAGTGTGTACCTACTGAGCACGGGGGAGGGGGGGGGTATCAAGCATTGGAATATCACCTAGATATTGAGATATGCTGGTGGTGATTAAGTGGAAGCCGGGTGCAGAAACCAGAGGGCGTTTGCGTGAGTTTATTTAACATTTGTTGGCAAGTCTTGGAGCCCTATATGAATATAGACGTTGGCAGGCAGTGAGCGAATACGCCTTGCCTAGTGTAATAGAAGAGTCGGTGCTTCAGCTGGCAGGAAATCTCGATGCGAAGGATTTGTTTGATATCATTTGGACTTCGTCTACCAGTCACCCAGTCCTACATCTCCCCAAAAAGCCACAGTAACACAAAACCGCCAGACCCGCCGGCACCGAAATAAAACATCACCAACCCACCGCCCCCCTTCAAACCCTTCAAAAAGAAGCCAGGTCAACCCACCTCCGCGCAACCACCCCCTCCCGCATCTCCCTCCCCCTCGCCACCAACCTCTCCCTAAACCCTTCACACCACACCAACTCGACACCCCCATCCCCAACACCCGGCATCCCAACCGCACCCATCCCCACCTCCAACCCAAACCCCGCATTCATATGACCCCCAAACCCAACACCAACACCAACCCCCACACCAACTCCAACACCGCCCAACTCCCCAAAAAACCGCCCCACCACAAACAGCGCGTGCCACAGCAAGTCGGGCTGCGCACATGATGGTGATGGGTCTGCCAGGACGAACTCGAGCGCGCGGCACACGTCGGCCGCGGCATCACGTACCCGCGGCAGCGAGTACCGCATCGGGTCGAGGGTTTGCAGACGGGTTGGGAGGGGGAGGTCAGTGGGTTCGAGGAGGTTTTGCTGGTGGTGGTGGTGGTGGTGGTGGTGATGGGGATGGGTTGGTGGGCTTGGGTAGCCGGTTGTGGTGGTGGCGGTGCTGGCGTTGGCGGTGTTGGTGGTGGTGCTGTGATCGTAGGCTGTGACGGGGTCGATGACGGCGGCGAAATAGAGGCGCCAGATGGTTGGGTAGAAGAGCACCAGTGCGGTCCAGTAGTAGGATAGCGCTAGCGCGGTGTGGGCGTCGCGGAAGGTGAGGGGGTTGGGGAGGTGGTAGGGGTGGGGTGCTGTTGAGGGTTGGTTGGAAAGCCAGAATAGGGGTTGGCTGATTCCGGATGCTGGTGAGACTTGGAGCGTGGTGTACCACCTGCCGAGTTCTACCTCTAGGTCTAGGCAGTTGTTGAGTAAGTCCTGTGCCATCAGGCGGCGGGTGATGGTGTGTTCTTGCGCCAGAACGCGGTCGGCACGCGCGAGGAGAGAAGGCAGCAGGGCGAGACTGTCGAAGAGCTGGTCAACTGCGGACTTGGGATGGGCTTCGAACGGTGTTGAGAGCCATTGTGGTTCAGCGAGGAATGTTGGGGTACGGTTGACGAGGGCAGTCATGATCTGTGTTTAGGGGGTGTTAGTAGGGTGGTGGATGGAAAGGGGTAACAGCTAGGAGCCGGACGTACAGCGTTAGGCCGGTAGATCCGCACAAAAAAGTGGTGAGCGGGGAAGGCGCGGAAGTGTTCAGGCCCGAGGCGGCGGACGGTGTTGTTTTGTATCGACGGGTCTTTTCCAAGGCGGCTGATTGCTGAAGTATGAAGACGTGTTGTGCTGTTCTCGTTCAGTCAGGGGTAAGCTACCACGTCATCACCACCCAATTCTTCAGTACACACCTTCGTAGAGAAAACATAACAAGACCCGTCCATTA